GGGATGCAGAGTGCGGGAGGGGGCTCAGGGCAGGGGGTTGCAGTGCAGGAGGGGTGTGGCAGGGGGTTCAAGGAGCTCAGGGCAGGGAGTTGGGGTGCAGGGTACAGGAGGGGTTTGGGGTGCGGGCTCTGGCCCGGTGCCACTTACCTCGAGCAGCTCCGGGGTGGCAGCGGGGCTAAGGCAGGCTCCCTACCTGTCCTGGCCCCGCACCGCTCCCAGAAGTGGCCAGCATGTCTGGCAGTGGCTCCTGGGGGTGGGGTGGGTCAGGTGGCTCTGCCATGCGCTGCCCTCGCCTGTGGGTACCACCCCCGAAGCTCCCATTGGCTGCAGTTCCCCGTTCCCGGCCAATGGGAGCTGTGGGGGGCTGGTGCCTGCTGGCAAGGGCAGTGCACGGAGCCTTCTGCCTCGCCCAGGGGCCGCAGGGACATGGTGCTGGCCGCTTCCGGGATCGGCACGGGGCCAGGGTAGGCAGGGAGTCTGCCTTAGCCCCACTGCACCACGGGGCTGGCAATCCCGCGGGGCCGGACTGAAAGCCCTGAGGGGCCGGATCCGGCCCGCGGGCCATAGTTTGCCCTCCCCTGAGCTAGACACCTGTCTAAAGGGAGGGAGCTTCACATAGAAGACACGATCACTTGCCAACCTACGATGGAGTGGGATCCCTAAAATTAAAGTTTTCTTAGCACAATCAGTGAGGACAAGGCTCAAGAACGCACACTTGACTGTAGCAGCTAAAGTGCCTCAAACTGCTCATTACATCCACTGGGTATTTCTGTTGAACAGTCTGATTTTTTGATCACTCACACCGGATACAGAGGACACACTACACACACCCTCCTCCCACACCAAGAAATGGGAAATAATAGCTTTAAAATCATTTATTGTATTTTGGAGGGACAAATTATTTTTCACATGCAGGCACAGCATGCGAGATCTGCTCAGGGTGCGGCTATACCGGGGTCCCTTCATCTTGCAGCGTCTGCTCCTTTGCGGCCCTTGCTTTTGCTTGCCATTCTTGTCTCTGCTTTAGCCTCTCGGGTGCTTTCAGTTTCTGTACCTCCTTGAAAACCTGCAGTTCGGGGGCAAGGGAAGAAAGAAGACTGTGCACCCCTGTTGAAAACAGTTCTAACATCAGGTCAGGGTCATGCAAGAACTTAGGGAAGATCCGTTAAATCCTAGAGCATCAAGGTTTAGAAGGGACACTACATGTCTCAATAAAAGCAACTGCACCTGACATGCTCGCACCTTCTGGGACTCCAAGTACAAGAATTCCAGTTGATATATTCATTTCCACACAGCTATTCTTTTGCTGGGCCGAAGTACTGTATTCCTTTTCAGGGATTTTTTTATTTTTTTTAAATACAGTTTTTTACTTCTGTGCTCAGTTACATGAGTGTAGATGACAAGTTAGACTCTGACCCACAGCTGAGGCCCACATCCGTTCCCAGGACCTAACAGAAGTTTGTACTTTCACTTCTATATATTCATTCTCCTAGTGGGACCCTGAAGAAATGGATTGGTTCCAAGTTTGCAACGGAAAGCAGAATCTCTCATTCACAACTCCCACCTGTTCATGCTCTGTGTATGTGTATATCTATCGCCTCAATATTTGTTCCATTCTATGCATCCGAAGAGGTGGGCTGTAGCCCACGAAAGCTTATGCTCAAATAAATGTGTTAGTCTCTAAGGTGCCACAAGGACTCCTGTTCTTTTTGCGGATACAGACTGACACGGCTGTTCCTCTGAACCCGTCATTCACAGCAATTCAGCAACAAACCTTGAAGCTTTCAGATAGTTAAAAAGCAGGCTGCACTTGTAGCTCACTCAGTGACTCCAGCACAGAGGTGGGCAAGCTACGGCCTGTGGGCCACATCCGGCCTGCGGGACCCTCCTGCCCGGCCCCGAGCTCCTGCCCCCCTCCATGCAGCCTCGGCTCACTGCGCTGCCGGCACAATGCTCTGGGCGCCAGGGCTGTGAGCTCCTGGGACAGCGCAGCTGCAGAGCCCGGCCTGACCCAGTGCTCTGTGCTGCGTGGCTGGGTCCAGCCGGGCAGCGCGGCTGTAGCGCCGCCAGCCACTGGTGCTCCAGGCAGCATGGTAAGGGAGCAGGGTGGATAGAGGGCAGGGGAGTTCGGGGGGAGTGGATAGGGGTTGGGGCGGTCAGAGGGATGGAATGCGGGCAGGGGTTCCGGGGGCAGTCAGGGGACAGGGGAGGTCGGATAGGGGGTGGGGGCTGGGCCACGCCTGGCTGTTTGGGGAGGCACAGCCCTCCATACAATTTCGGAAACCCAATGCAGCCCTCAGGCCAAAAAGTTTGCCCGCCCCTGCTCCAGCACATCCAGCTCCTAACTCACCTTCTATGGAGCTGTTTGGAAAATGAATGAAAATTAGTGAAAGGTCTGAGCTGTCCAAACTCAAATCATATCCCAGAGTGACCCTCGAACTTCCAACACTAAACCCAGGAGAGAGCCACCACCTCCCCTCCTCCCACACCTCAGCACAGCGATCCAAACCACTGTGCCCCTTAGCAGGAAAATCTGCTCTAGCTGTCCCCAGCCTGCTCCCCTGGACACTATGCGGAGCTGTGCTTGCGAGTCCCACTTCATACCTTGAGGCAGAAAGCCTTCTTAGCGGCCCATCGCCGGGTCATTCTCCTGCAATAGGGGGGCGGTAACGTGTACTGGATGCCCAGCTGCTTGCACGTCTGCTCAAAAGTCTCATAGCGGGTGCGACGCAGGTACTTGAGCAGTTTCTTCCGGTGATCTATGGCCATCAGCATGCGACGCCGGTTACTTTTGTCCTGTAGAGGATTTAATATTCAGGAGTTGCAGTCAGACTGCAATTCCTTCCCGATGTTCTCAGCAGCCCGGGTTATTGCGGATGGGGACCCAGTCAGGTTAAGAGTAATATTTTAAGAACCGTTTTCTTTAAATGATATAACTGGCACCTCAGATTTTTATACGAAAATTTGAAAAGTCAAATGGCATTTTGCATTCGATTTACAATTTTTCTGCTAGAAGGTTAGTTTCAATGTGTGTATTCCCTTTTACTGCTCAATTACACCTTCCTCAGCACTAGCATAAACTGCAATGGCCAGGTGCCAAAGACTGCAGGGGAAGTCTCGCTGGCTAAAACCTCTGCTTCCATTTACATGGATTGTTCCACAAATCCTACAGAAGCATTTGGAACCAGTTTGACCCGGCAGGGTCCATTGCTTCGTCCTTTGCAAAGGAGGTTGGATAATTCAACCATGTTATTAGGGGGAATCTCTGGCTTCAGGGCAGAAGAACTTCCTGCAAGGGTCAGAAGCAATCCCCTCCCCACACTATATGCACAACTCTTGCACACTCTCAGCCAAGGACACGTCAAGTGTTTCTGTTTTCCGCTGAAACGTAAGGTACAACTGCTGCTACAGGCTGGATATTGGACTAGCTGGACCCCAGTCCAGGATAACAGCCCTTACCTTCTCAGGCCATGTCTACACTACAAAATTAAGTCAACCTAACTTATGCTGGCATACAGCCACTGCAGTAGTTACATCGCTTGTGTGTGTCTACACTTTGCTCCTGGTGTCAGTAGTGCGCGCCCTCACCAGGAGTGCTTGTATTGATTGTATTGTCAGTGTGGGGCATTGTGGGACGGCTCCTGAAAGCCTTTAACAGTTGACATAAGCAATGCAGTGTCTACACTGACACCGCATTGACCCAACTGCGTCGACCTTGACTCTACAACACTCATGGAGATGAAGTCAGTGTATGGAGCAGTTACGTTGGTGGGAGCAAATTAAAGTGTAGACACTTCCATGGTTAGGTCGATGTAAGCTGCCTTGCATCAACCTAACTCTGTAGTGCAGACCAGACCTTAAAGACTTTCATTCCATAAACTTAAAGATAAACGGGGAACAATTTTAATGTGAGAAATTGAAGCACATTTTGGGGGATGTTTGTTGATACATTTCCAAGCTGGTACAATTTCAGCAAGAACCTAAGGGTGTCTTGTCCACAAACTCATTTTTGCTGATGATCCAAGTTTGGACTTTTTAAGCCACTGTGGCATTGAGATAAATCCCATCTGGGAAAAATGTTTTATAGCCAGAAGGAAATGGGTTTCTAGTTGACATACATAAATATAAAATGTTAAATAACAAACACAGGAAAAGCCTATCTGCACTAGCAGCATGATTTAGTTTAGCTGTTGATTCAAATGCATCTAGTCAGTGGCTTCCTGCTCCAGGAACATATTTGGACAAGTTTCAATCTTTGAAAATGTAACTGTGATCCATAGATTCTCCAGTCAAGTGCACCAAAACTCAAAGCAATGAACTATTGCCTACAGTATCCTCCAGCTTCAAACGCTACCAGTGACCTCACTGCTTTAGAAGGGAGGAGATACAGACATTTTAAAAACTGAATTAGGATCTTCCTCACAATTCAAATCCTCTAAGTCTGAACCAAAGTACAAGACCCTCTGGCTGGTCTCAAATTTGTAGATTACATATCTAATGAGAATTACCTTGGGGTGCATCCGCAGGTGCTCCTGGTGAGTTTGAATCTTGGCAGTTAAAATAGCAGCTATAAAAGAAACAAGAGATTGCATAAAAGCAGCAATGCGTTCTCGGACACTGATGTTTTCTCAGGCTTCTGACACACTACAGTGGATACATTTTGGGTATCAGATTTGCAAAGAACTTTGGGCATTTGTACAGAATTTCTAAAAAAAAAAAAAAGCAAAACAAACCTTCAAAATTAAACACCCAAAACCTAAACATCAGTTTAAAATTATTTTGAAATTGTGTATTATGTATTAAGATTATTTTAACAATTGAGAGCCTGCCTTTACAGCTGAAATGCCTGCTGCCCTGCTTAACTGCTGACGGCTTTATATTCACTCTACTCCACTTGGTGTCAATCTCAGAGGAATAGGAAGAAGCCCAGTCGGTTTAACAATACATGGCTATATTTAAATCGGTCGCGTACCCACTGCCCCCTACCAATATACATCAGACTTGGCCTGTAGGGATTGCCTCTAGAGGTGAGAAGTTCAGTTTCCTTTGCCAATTCAGCCTTTGTGCTGAAACTGCCAGCTGCAGTGGTTTGTGTGACGTGGATGCTTGGAATTGGTTAACCCACACATTGCCTTTGGGGTGTGCGGCACTTCCGCATTGTAACTGGAAAGGCTCCTAGCAGACATTTGTAATGGAAAGCATTGGAAGGAAGGAGAAGGATACTGTGAACTTTCTAGCACTTTGACTAAGCTTGGCGAGGCAAATCTCTTTTTTCCAGATGGGGAAAGGGGGGACAATGGGTGCCAGATTCAGTGTGGAGCTTTAACACAGGGTCGTGTGTTTGGAGGGATTTAGGTTACACCCTGTCAAATGAATGGTCATGCAGCAGCCTGACCCCTGCCTCTGCACCCATCCTTTGGGGTTTCATTAAACAATTGGTATGTGTACAGAAAGGAGTTTTATTTCTAAACGCAACAGTGACCTTTCAAAAGCCACAATTCCTGTCATGCACGCCCTCCCCAGAGCATTGCTTCATTCTGATGGGCATGGGACATCACAGTTGCAGAAACAGTGGAGGAAAAACCAGAAGAAGCATATGACTGGAAAAGTATTGCAGCAACATCAACAGTTGCAGAGGAATCCTCCATCCCAGGTCTCTGAAGCAGAGAGCTACAGGAATGTCTCTCTATGCAGCAGCCACAGGCACTCATTAGAAAAATTCAAACCGCTCCCTTTGCCAGTGGATAAGCATGTTACATCTGTCACACTCCCAGACCCTGAGGGTCCCCCAGTGCCCTACTGCAGGTGAAACATCTTCCCAGTGTTCCCACAAAGGTGGCTCTTGTAGTTCTCACAGGAGCCTTGGTAAAATGATAGGGGAAACAGCTGGATTAAAGCAAAGAGATGCTCTCCATTGAGGATTTCCCTCTGGCTCTTGGACTTACTTTGTACCTCGAAGGAACCGGTGTCACTGGGAGTCCTCCGGACCTTCTCTATCAACTGCTGCGTCTTTATCTTCACTTTCTCCCTCTGTGGGCAACAGACAGAAACCAAGGCCCTCAGCTTTGTTATTTGGGGATTATTCTAGATGCAAGACACCCCACTGCCTCAAAGCACTGACACCAACCCAACACGCCCAGAGGAAGTGTGGGGAAAAGCCAAGTATTTTATGAATGGCTTTGCTCAATGCATGAGCTTCTTCAGCCAGCAAAGAGAGTGTAGGGAAAGGCAGCCACTGAGTGTCAGAGTACAGCAAAGAAGAACTCAGGAAGTTCTCAGCTGTAAGCACTAGAAAGACTATTTTTAGGCCTGAAGTCAAGGAACCCCCTTTCTTAAGACACACACAGATGTGGAAAGAAAGGTGCCTGCTCATACTCAAACGCCTTTGTGCCCTTTAGCTGACATGCTCAGAGATTCATCCAGCCCTGCTGGAATGCACGTCTCCCCTTCAGAACCTTGGCAGCTTCTCTCGAACTAGCCGAAGAGATTTGCTATTAAGCAACACCAGCCTAGGCTTGAAAGGATTAGATTTTTATTGGTAAAAGTCGGTAAAGATTGGTATCACTGTACCAATGTATTTTGCCACCTCACAAGGGTAGTAATACTAAACCAGGAGTTCTCAGACTTTTGAACTGGTGACCCCTTTCACATAGCAAGCCTCTGAGTGCGACCCCCCTTATACACTAAAAACACTTTTGTATATATTTAACGCCATTATAAATGCTGGAGGCAAAGCGGGGTTTGGGGTGGAGACTGACAGCTCATGACCCCATGAGGGGTCCCGACCCCCAGTTTGAGAACCCCTGTACTAAACGCTTCCCTGGTATTAATATTTGAGCAGCACTTAGACATTTAACAGTTTGCAGGATTGACCATGAACACACCAAAGTGCTCCCAGCTCCTGCCCGCATGATGAAGGACCAGGAACTGGGCCCGGTCTCTCTCAGTGCAGTTGGAGAACTCCATGTTATCTGCATGTGTCCTATTCTGGTTGTACATTTCTGAACATAGATACTAAGCAGCTCCATGGGATGAGGGCCTTCTCTTGTCTTTGATGTGCCTGCATTTTGGGGCAGTTGAAAAATCGTAATGAAACCACGTTTTAAATGAATTTTGACTCTATCGTTTTCTAGAATAAGCCGATATCATTTGCTGGCACTCAACAGCCCTATGGTTCTTTCTGTAATTCTTCTACCATTTTCTCACTTCTTTTAATATATGTAAAAAATAATAGCACATACATGTATTTTACTAGTACAAATGAGAGAATTTTTTGGTGAATTTCAGGTGTGTTTTGAGTTAATTACCAACAGATCAGGGTGAGTTATTAACCACCAGGTTTGAAGTCACTTGGCAAAACTAACAAACCAGAAGAAGTAAATTATGAAATAATTTTGAGCATATAGACAGATCTTACAGAGACATTGTCACCCAAAGTTCCAGCATTTACACAAGCAGAAAGACACTAACCTGGCTGGCCATTTCCAGAGACAATAGCCTTTTCACTACATCATCAACCCTGCAGGGAGATCAGAGATCGATTGATAAAACAAAGCAGAACATGCAATGTATTTATTTTGTTTTTAACTCTGAAAGTTGATTTAGATTTTCAGAACAGATTAGCATTTCTGTAAGTGTTTCAAAGAGCTTTAAAATAGAGTAGGTTAGGCTTTCTACCAATAAAAAGTAATAAGGAAATCAAACCATTTCTTGCATTCATTGAAAGAAATCACTGCTAAGAGTAGAGGTAGTATGTAGCTTTTTGTTTTAATTGGATACTAGGGCTGAAACGTTTCAATTCACTATGAAGTACTGATACTTCCAAAACCTACATGATGTGCAATCTGAATGCTGAAGATTAGCTTTCCAAGACCATTCAAAGACAAAATGATTCCTATTAAGGCCATGATCCTTCAAACTATATCTGTGCAGCATCCCCCCAGAGTCAGTGCGATTCCACGTGGGCAAGAGAGTCCAGCCACACACATGCAGTTGGGCCCAAATTTCAGAAGTGACCATTAATTTTGAGACACCTCAAGGCCTGATTTCTAGAAATATTAGGAATCCACAGGTTCCTCCTCTGGGTGCCCAGCATTTCTGAAAATCAGACCCCAAGGCATCTCAAGTTGGGCACCCAGAAAGTAAGGTATCCCTTAGGACAGGATGCAGAGAGAAAATTTCTAGACATCATTTATGACTGCTTGGAGCAGCTAGTCCTGGAACCCACAAGGGGACGGGCAATTCTTGATTGAGTCCTAAGTGCAGCACAGGATCTGGTCCAAGAGGTGAATGTAGCTGAACCAATCAGTAACAGTGACCATAATGTAATTGAATGAACATCCATGTAGGGGGGGAAATACCAAAGAAACCCACCACAGCAGCATTTAACTTCAAAAAGGAGAACTCCACAAAACGGAGAAGCTAGATAAGTGGAAATTAAAAGGAACTTTTCTTGTGACTACAAGAGTGAAAGGCGTGCAAGCTGCATGGAAACTATTTAAAAACACCATGCTAGAGGATCAAACTAAACGTGTACCCCAGATAAAAAATAAACACTAAGACGACCAACAAAAATGCCCTGATAGTTAAACAACAGCGTAAAAGAGGCAGTTAGAGACAAAGACCTCCTTTAAAAACTGGAAGTCAAATCCTACCGCGGAAAACAGAAAGGAATGAACTCTGGCAAGTCAAGTGCAGCAGTATAATTAGGCAGGCCAAAAAAGAATTTGAAGAGCAACTAGCAAAAGACAAAAATAGCAAAACATTTTTAAGTACACTAGAAGCAGGAAGCCTGCCAAACATCCAGTGGAGCCACTGGACCTTGAGGTGCACTCAAGACAGACAAAGCCATTGCAGAGAAGCTAAATAAATTCTTTGTATTGCTCTTCACTGCAGAGGATGTGAGGGAGATTCCCATACCTGAGGCATGCTTTTTAGGTGACAAATCTGAGGAACTGTCCAAGACTGAGGTGTCAATAGAGGAGGTTTTGGAACAAATTGATAAATTAAACAGTAGTAAGTCATCAGGACCAGATGATATTCACCCAAGTGTTCTCACATATGAAATTGCAGAACTACTAACTGTGGTATGTAACCTATCACTTAAATCAGCCTCTGTACCAGATGACTGGAGGATAGCTAATGTAATGCTAGTAAGCCTAACTTCAGAACCAGGCAAACTGGTTGAAACTAGAGTAAAAGGCAGAAAGATCAGACATGTAGACTAACACAATATGTTGGGGAAGAGTCAACGCAGCTTTTGTAAAGGGAAAATGCCTCACCAATCTATAAGAATTCTTTAAGGGTGTCAGTAAACATGTGGACCAGGGGGATACAGTGAATGTCCAGTACTTGGACTTTCAGAAAGTCTCCGATGAGGTCCCTCTCCAAAGGGTCTTAACCAAACTAAGCAGTCATGGGATAAGAGGGAAGATCCTCTCATGGATCAGTAACTGGTTAAAAGACAGGAAACAAAGGGTAGGAATAAATGGTCAGTTTTCAGAATGGAGAGAGGTAAATAGTGGTGTCCCCCAGCGGTCTGTACTACGACCAGTGTTGTTCAACATATTCATAAATGATCTGGAAAAAGAGGTAAACAGTGAGGTGGCAAAGTTTGCAGATGATACAAGAATTACAAAGGGATCTCACAGAACTCAGTGACTGGGCAACAAAATGACAGATGAAATTAAATGTTGATAACTGCAAAGTAATGCACAGTGGAAAACAATACCAACTATATATACAAAATGATGGGGTCTAAATTAGCTGTTACCACTCAAGAAAGATCTTGGAGTCATCCTGGATAGTTCTCTGAAAACATGCACTCAATGTGCAGTTACAGTCAAAAAAGCTAACAGAATGCTAGGAACCATTAGGAAAGAGATAAGACAGAAAATATAATACTGCCACTATCTAAATCCATGGTATACCCACACCTTGAAAACTGTGTGCAGTTCTGGTCACCCCATCTCAGAAAAGATATATTAGAAGTGGAAAAAGTGCAGAGAGAGGCAACAAAAAAGATTAGGGGTATGGAACAGCTTCCATATGAGGAACAATTAAAAAGACTGGGACTGTTCAGCTTTGAAAAGAGACAACTAACGGGGGATAAGATACAGATCTATAAAATCATGACTGGTGTGGAGAAAGTGATTAAGGAAGAGCTATTTACCTCTTCACATAACACAAGAACTAGGGGTCATTCAATGAAATTAGTAGGCAGCAAGTTTAAACAAACACAAGGAAGTACTTTGCACAACACACAGTTAACCTGTGTAACTTGTTGCCATGGGATGTTGTGAAGGCCAAAAGTATAACTGGGTTAAAATAAGAACTAGATAAGTTCATGGAGAAAGGTCTATCAATAGCTATTAGAGTTGTGCCCCTGACCATCTTGGCTGTGCTCTGGGTATCCCTAAACATCTGACTGCCAGAAGCTGGGACTGGACGACAGGGGATGGACCACCCTGTTCTGTTCATTCCCTCTGGACTGGCCACAGTCCCTCTGATCTAGTATAGCTATTCTTAAGTTCCTATGTTCTTATAATCAGTGGTCACTTCTACAAATTTCAGACTCTTGACCTATTCTTTCAAAACTTCTGCAGTTCTCTCTAGATAAATGACTGTACATTGTTATGTAAGTGCTAGCAGTATTACAACTACCGCTTTCTGTGGTTAGATGTCTTTAATAATTAAATCTCTGAAGTGATTAAGCGTTCCCCCTTCCCTTGCCTCTGGAACATACTTATCTATTATTGGGACATTGGCATAATCTTTCTTCAGCATGGTAGGAGGAAGGTCATCCAGATGGCTGGGGAGCACTACAAAGAGAAGATCAACATGTGGGGAACAGCATATCAAATCAGGGCTGTCTCACACCCTAGAGAATTTGGAGGGGGAATGGATCAAAGGGAGAGAATTCAAGAGAAAAGAGGGGATGGATCTTTCAATTGTGAAGGGCAAACCAAGACAGCAGTTTTGAATTGAACTTGAGGGTGGATACGACAGGTGATGGGAGTTGATATGACCCCACTTCCTGGCTTCAGTATTCTGGATTTAGGTTCGGATCCAAACCCATTGAGATCAATGCAAATGCTCCTGTTGACTTCAGTGAGCATTCCCTGTGTATTCCAGAAATGACAGTCCAATGAAGGTTTCTGACCAACCCAGCATGCTTGCTGTCTGAAAATTGTTTTTAGGATTTCTGAAGCATGATTTAAATGAATCAAACCCCTCCCCCCATTCAAGTGTCTAATAACACTTTTAGGGTGCAATCCCCCCCCGCAAATTGGTGATAATGTTATTAAGAATAAAACATTGTGAAATGTGCTCAAAATCCAGTCTCTACCATACCTTGCTTCCTCTTTTTGACAGGCCTGGCATAACCTCTGGCTGTCTGAACAAGCGGGCTATAAACTTCATGGAAGAAAGCAAAGATTTACTAGACACATAAATACATTTTCTCTATATGCTTTTGAGATTTGGTAAGAATATACTCAATAGAACGTAAATAAGTTTGTATTGGGAGATTGCCTTTAGAGCACCCTCTGCCTGGGCTTCTGTGTGAGCTCTCTAGGTCTGTGTCAGAGGCACTAGAGAAAATATTTCAAGCGGATGTTCGATTGCACCATAATCCAAGGATGCTGCATGTCCAGAGAAGCAGGGAGTCTGAAGGAGAGCACTCCCAATAGCAGGCTCCTGCTGACGTTGTCCATTACTGAGCATTACAGGACCTGCAATTCACCATCTACTCACTACATCTCAGTGCAGCAGCTCCCCAGGCTGTTAAAGCAATTGTCCCAGATGATCACAGTAACACTCTGGCTGTACTAACCAGCACCTGTCACTTCCTAGCCACGTGTGTCACCAACCCCCCGGTAAAATGTAGTCTGTATGAGGTCTGGAGCAGCTCAAGCTCCATGGCGGGACAGAGAGGGGGCAAATAGGAGACCGGCAGCAATGGTCTATCGGCACAGAAGCTTATCTCGGAGGTTGAGGCCGGAATTGGCTAAAGTAGCTGGTAACCAAGCCTGTGGCACCAATACTGGTGCTTGTGCGCGTGCTTGGACGCATGCACCACCACAGGGCCTGGGCATCAAGCATCCCTGGCAGCCAACTAAGAAGCCATTGACCCAGCATTTCCCC